CACTGCCCGCATGCTCAGATTCTCGTTAAAATGTGTTCAATTCCTGTATGGCAAAACTGGGAAACATTGGAGAAGTCAAGCACGTACGCGCTATGAAGGTTTCTGGAAACATGCTTTATCGTTTTGCTGACGTTTAATTGAAACTGACGTACGTATCAATTCTTCGCGAAAGGCACCTGCAAAGGTAGAAAGTAATCTAGAGACATGAAGACATGTAGAGTATTACTATTACTATTCGACCTTCAGAGCGTGTCAGAGCTGTACGGCTTCAATTGGTTAGATCCTAGAAGCCTCCAAATAAAGCTTCCGTTGCGTTGAATCCTTTTCAGTCAATCAGCGGGAAACCAGTTTGCCGATCATCGAAACCGAAACTCAAAATGCTTGTTAGACTAAAATGCCAACGTTGTTTACATTTCATAAGAATAATATAACCAAAATAACGTTTGAAGTCACAATACTTGAAAGTCTGGTAACTTTTAGCTTCTTGTCGTGATGCGTTCACAACGTCGGATATTAGAAAGATTTAGATCTCCTTGAGCGTTCGTCTACTGTACCAAGCTCACGCGAAGCCATCTGACGTTATGGCTGTAAGCTGCTGGGATCAGTAGTTGAACGGTGTCAAGCAGATTACTTAGCGCAAAACGTTTCCTTTTAATAAAAGAGAGATTCCGCCTAGCGCAAAATTTATGAAATGCTCGCTGCTCGCCATCTGTATTTTCTTAAGTGCTCGCTGCTCGCAAGACAAATTTGATCAATGCTCTTGCTCGCAAAAATAAACGCACTGCTCGCATGCTCGCAAATGTCCGCGAAGACCATTCAATACCCCTAACATTCTCAGCCCAGTCCCTTATCCAGAAAGAGCGACTGCGTGGTACTTGTAAGTGACAACGAAAAATTGTCAACGTGGACCCTTGCTACGTGTCCCTTTCAGTAGATGTGATGCGATTACATTCACGACAGGAAAAGCTTGCTTACTCAGGGGTCACTTATCAAATAAATATATCAGTATATATTGAGCGCCCGGGATGGGTTGAAAACCTTGTGCACGCTATGTTTTCATATTTGAGGTAGCACAAATGTGTAAGGTCTATTAAAGAATCCACCATATGTCGCGAAACTATAGAGTGGAGTGTGATAAGTATCGGTTTTTCGTGATGATCACTGTACAAGTGGTACAAGTTTTACTTGATATGGTGAAATAGAAGTATCTATAATTGGAATCATCAAGGACCATCAAATGATATTGTCGTGTGGTTTTCTTGGTGAATTGATGGCTGTCATATTGCTTTTCTAAGCAATACAGTGTACATGTATCACAGTTATTTTCTGTTGTAAAGAATCACTTTAAATCTTTTTATATCCCAACAAAAATAAATATTGTCAGGTCTGTTCCGATTTTCATCACCTAGGCATAAAATTCGAAGGGCACTCGGAGATAACATTGTCAGGTCAGTTCCGATTTGCATCACCTAAGCATGAAACTTCGGAGGTGTTTCTCTGTTACAGCGCAGGAAAAAATAACAACTCAGAAGCCTTAAACACACCAGCACTTTGTACAAAGAAAAATATCCCACCTTCAAGGTGAAATAAGCTGTGAACGTGGGTAAAAAATGTGAACTCATATCACATGCAAGTCCGTGACAAGCAACTGCGATCAATGCATGTGCTCTAATTGAACATGTTACATCACCTTCTCGGAGATCCAAACTCAAACAGCTTTGGACAATAGAGAATCTATGAGTGGCCGAAAAAAAAAATCGCTTTTAAATTAAAGTATCTACACTTTACCCAGATATGGTAAAAGCGTTTCTGAATGTTTACACGTTACGCACTTCCGGTGATTACATCAACTGCTAAACTGATGCAACTCAGTGTTAAAATGCCGGCAACAGTTCTGAGGAGGGAAAATCAATTTTTTTTTTTTTTCACCTTTGCTGAAAAAATTTTATCGCGTCATCCTTGAGAGTAAATGAGATAGCGGCAAAACGAGAAGTACATAGATCATAAAGCGAAAACAAATTTTTCTTTACCCTCGAGACGTGACACAACCATTACGACATTGCATCAGTGACTAAATTTACATGTTACGCATTCAGAGGCAAAATAAATTAATTATGCACAGCTCAGCTATATAAGCTCCCATGCAAGGCTGAAAAAGCATTACAATCAGTGAGAGAAAAACTTTGCTGTTTGAAACCGAGATATTCAGTGAAGTAAGTACTCCAGTGTTTTGAATTTTCTCAGGTAAAAATCTTTATCGGGTTGGGTTTAAATCGCTTTGTTCCTCGGCCGTGACGCGGTCAGAACCAGTTGTCCCGAATAATTATAACTTTTCCATGTCACGGTTATACGACCTTGTACATGTACAAATTTTGTCTTTTCGCAGAAGAGAATTGCACGGAACCAGAAGAGAGGAAAAAGTTATTTAATCTGCTCCAGTCAGGAAGCTCTCTGGACAAATCTGACGAATTGAGTTTCTAGTGTAATATACCAAGATAACATGAATGACTTCTTGCAGACGGTAGCACAATTTGCCAACGATCACTGGGTCACACTTTTGATCGGATTTTTGCTTGTGTTGTTTTACCGGTATGTGTCAACGATATTCTTTAAACTGATGCACTACATCAACTGTTCATTATTTTTTTTTCTGTAAAGTAATGTGCTCTCGAGCATATTACGTTGCCATCAGTGAGGTTTTGTTTTTGAGCGTTACAATCGGGTTCTTGTGGGTATTGTCACACAACAATGAACGTCCCTCCGAAGGGGCGTCAAAACAATGCTCTAATTCTTATTCGTGTTTTAGCTCCTATTATTATTATTATTATTATTATTATTATTATTATTATTATTATTATTATTATTATTTATCCAATTTGAAGAAAATTATGTTTGGATTGATATTTAATTGACTTACTCATTCGTTATTTCCAAGGTACTTTGTTGAACCGTTCACTGTTTTCAAGAAACTTGGAATCCCCGGGCCAACACCGCTTCCAATATTAGGAAACACAGGGAGGACTCTTTTTGATGTAGGTTCATGTTATTTCTCTAATGTATTGTGCTGTGGCCTCTGCAATTGCTATCCTGGTGTAATTAAATCCCTTTTGCTTTCAGCATTTAAATATTAACGTTATTCCTTAAAAAATGTCCTGGAAAGTGATCTCTTTTGGGATCTGTTGTAAACTAGCAACACCAGCGGTTTTATTGTTATTATTTTATTGTTAAAGCGTCTTGTTTTTGCAAAAATTTCCAACGCGCCTCACTGACGCTTTTACGTGACATCTCATTTGCAGTAAGGTTTAAATTAATCTTATATTTACCTGTCGTTTCTTCATGTTCATAAAACTTGATTTGAAACGACCAAAATTATTTTGTCTTCACATGTGCAGCCAAACAGTATTCCAAAACGTCATCAGGAATTGTACAAGAAATATGGCAAGGTCTTTGGGTATGTAATGTGTCTGTAATCATCTGTGACCAATGTCCTTGGTAAAGTTCAAAATATATTTTTGGACAGTTCGACCTCGTTATAGCTCGAAAATGCAGTTGCACCCTATTGCGCTTTCGAACTATAACGACTTCGAACTGACAAAAAATCGCAGCATATGACCTCCTCGCCTGATGAAGACTACCAGTATAGCAGTCGAAACGTCGCGATCTACATCTTAAAATGACTCCATCGTGAGACAAACGAGTGAAAATTCATCTATCCTATCTTACACCGCGATGAATAATGTACACATCTTTAATGACATATGCTTTCAAAGTTTCCAAATGTTCTTACCACATTTTGACATCATATGAGATAGATTACAGAACAGACGTAGGGCAACATGGAATCTATTAGTTGATTAGTTACCACGTCTGACCTTCGATATGACAGCTCTGCCATTTCAAGTTACGAATTGTTTGATGGGTATCCAATACATAATTATTATTTATGGTTATGTTCACTTTTTTTAGATTGTATTTCTTCCGCCAGCCATTCCTTATGGTTGGTGATCCTGACATGATCAAAGAGATCCTCATTAAAGAATTTCCCAAGTTCCACGATAGACTGGTACGAATGTACAATGCAACTTATTTTTCACATCATTATTTTGATAAACTTAATGGTTGTCATCTTTCTTGACATTATTATCAGTTGACTGAGTCCATAGATAATGTTCAAGATTAAGCATATTCCCAAACGGAATCTTTTTCGTGATTTTGAATTACACGTGTTAATTTAATTTGATTATCTACAATACATCTTTTACATCTTATTCCTCAAATATAATTAAATACAAACATATTTGTCATCAGTTCCGTTCAACAAGTGCGTAAGGTGTTTTTCTTCCTATCAAAATTTTGTCATGCCGTACCAAACTTCAAAAGCGACGCTCTGCCTCAGAGCAGAACAAACTTTTGTCAAGCGTCAAAACTGTCAGATTTTACAATTTGTAGGCGTTAATTTGACTGAAAATGTCAATCAAGTAAAATTTGATCTCGCTTTTTAGAGTCTATACATTCAACGTGATTGACACTTGTGGTTATCAAATATTTTGGTGTTTTCAAGTGCGTACGCATTACCAAATTCAAAGTTTGGTGGAGACAAAATTTGTCGACGTTGTTGGCAGAGCCAAACAAATCTTGTCAACCTAGAGCGTACGGTACCTAAGCCATTAGTCTCCGAATGGCATAAAATTCATGATGTTCAATTGCATGACCATTCTAATTTAATTTGATCATCAGAGCCTTATAGAAATTCCGAAGCCTTACAACAGAATGCTAAGTGTCGTACCTGGTCAGAAGTGGAAGGACCTTCGTAATACGTTGTCGCCGACCTTCAGTGCCTCTAAAATGAAGCATGTAAGTAAATGATCTGATGTCCAAAATTAAATAATCCTTGCAATTATAGTTAATATTTCAGTCAGTGAAAGTACTATTGTTGCACCCATTACCTGGTCAAGAGAGAAATGATTTTAAACAATTATCGGACCAGGTTAAGTGAAATATCGTGATTTGTCAGTGGCGAGCAGGCAAATAATTGATCTGCTCACCACTGACAGATTATTGTTATTGATTATTGTCAACTGAAACCTTACCAATCTTTTTGATTTGACAGGAAAAAAACGTTTTCCCTCAAATAATATCATTAAAAAATTATAATTTTCAAACCACGTTGTTAGTCACGCAACAGATGCATCAGAGTGTCCCTGCAAGGAACTTATTATCCCATCTAGACGGACTAAGAAATACTAATATCACTAGTAGGATGTATATGAACATATTATCCCATCTACACGGACTAAGAAATACCAATATCACCAGCAGCTAGCCTCGGGTTGTATATGAACAAATTACTTCAGTTTCCCTGTGGGCCACTCAGAAAATACTTTCTCCACAAAGCAATGAACACTTTGCTATCGATCCTTTCAGATGATGACTTTTATGAATGAAGCACTGGATACTTTGATGCAGAAAGTGGATGGGATTTCCAAGACAGGAGAGATAGTTGATTTCCACAGGTAGTGTTTTAAAGTTCGCACATTTATCTACTAAATGAAATCTTGCCTTTCAACCGCCATATCATGTTTTGCCCTTTTCAGAGATCCTGCTTCCCATCTTATTTCCTTTCACACCCTGTCGCCGTTCTGCCATGCTTCTTTTAAGGTTTCCACTCCCTGTATCCCGGCTGCCATCTCATTTTAGTAATTGGATGCCTATGAAGTCTTGGTCAAGAAACTTTATTGACCGATCTTAATTCTCACTTTTTTTTCCAGATGGCTTCAGAGTCTGACCATGGAAGTAATTTTGTCAACGGCCTTTGGAGTCAAGGGGGAAACGCAAACTGTTGAGAATGATCCAATCACTGAACTAGCAAAGAAGGCTATGGCAGCACACCCTTTGGTTGGAATAATGTGTAAGGAACTTCTGCTTCTTTTTCTGTATTTCTATTGTGTTTTTTATATATTTATCACCAATTAACACGTATAAGGGGAAACTGTAATTAGTAACGAGTGTGACGCATGCTCAAGTAATCTGGAATTCTGCCTCTGTTGGAAAACAATGAGTCCTAGATGGTCAGCCACTAAATCGTTTTCCCAATTCTTGAAATTTAGATACCGTTTGAACTTCGCCACCGATAACACCTTTAACTTAATTTTTGTAGTGCTGCTACCATTTGGAGACCGTCTACTCAAGTACTTCCCAGACCCTTTTGATTTTGAGAAGATTGGAGCCGTAGCAGCAAAAATCATCGCTGACAGGACAAAAGTAAATGGCCACAGCAAAGGACAGCGGAAAGACATGCTACAATTGATGCTTGATGCAAAAGAAGAAACTGGAGGAGGAAAAGTTGATAATGATGACATTCTGGCTCAAAGTCTTGTGTTCCTTCTGGCTGGTTATGAAACTTCCAGTACCACTTTGGGGTTTGTTTGTTATCATCTCGCCACTGATACGCACGTGCAAGACAAACTGAGAGACGAGATTGACCGTATGTGGCCTGGAGACGAGGTACGTACATGTAGCTTATTAATTTAAAAGTTGGAGAGGGCGTTCGCAATTCTTTGAAACTAATTTGAGCCTCAACATTAAAAGTGAGTGATCACCTTTAGCAGGAAACAACAATTCGTATCGTAACCAAAATAGTCAGCGGAGTTGAGTGTTTTAAAAAGCAACATGTAAGAAAGAACGCACCAAACCCTGTACGTCTTTTATTCGACAGAAACATAGAGCTAGCACGAGCTATTGGCATATCGATGGCGCGAGCAAAGAGAACTTACATTTTGCTAACGAAATAAACGAGTGATTTTCCAGTCTTTCTTTGCGTTATTTTCCAAATGAAAAAGGAAACATTTTCCTTGTACTTTTAGCGATTTATTGACACACTCGGGAAAGTTTGGGAGAACTCGAAAAAGCTGTGGCCTGTTCTTATTCCTGTGGCATTTCTCGTTCACCCACGGTTCTGCTCCTTATTTTTAAAATCTCTTTGAATGACTTTTTATCCACAGATGTCGCCGTCATATGATGTTCTTCACAAGATGGAATACCTTGACATGGTTATTAACGAAGCACTGCGAATGTATCCCCCAGGGTTTATGTAAGTATGTGGGAAATACAACTCTGAGTAACACTGTTGGTTACGGTTAGCAGGAACTCCTTTCGATAAAAGCAGTCAAAAGAGAAAACGGAAAAGAGAGTCACTGCTAATTTATCATGGTAAAAAAGTGATATTTAAGGATCGGGAAATTGCTCGAAATTCCATTTTCAATCGAGTAGTATTAGTCAAATGGCCTATCATCTCACTGCATATTAAGAACTCCTTCCATTGTGCCTTGTCTAACTGGAACGCATTGATTTCTTAGACTCCAGAGAAACTGCAACGACACCTGCATCATCAAAGGAGTCAAAATTCCAAAAGGAATACCAGTCATGATTCCATGTTATGCAATTCATCATGACCCAGAGATCTGGCCAGAGCCCGAAAAGTTTGATCCAGAGAGGTGACGATCCCTGATGTTTATTACAGTTATTTCATGTTGTTGTTGTTTTTAAGTTCCTCGAGCACTTTTGTTTGTGTGTGTGCTAAAAGTCGGGATCATTTTGCATACCACTGCCATTCTACTTTATCCAACACAATCGTATACAGTTTTTGGTTCGATTTTACCCTCGGTATAATCTGGTATTTTTCGTTGCCTTATATTTATTATCATATACTACAACATCAGAACAACGGAAAATACCTACCGGTAAATTTACCAAGAGTAAAATCGAACCACAGCACGTATAGTGGGCAGCTAAGGGTATAAATGGATATAAAACCTTCAAGTCTTTGGTCCGCTTTCCATTCAGTAAAAGAAGATAACATTTTCATCACATCTTCAAAATTTTACTCTTATACTTTTCAAGCAATCGCTATTTGGACTAAAACGACGGTTCATTTCAACGAAAACAGGTTTACCGACGCAGAAAAAGCAAAGCGTCATCCTTACACATTCATGCCATTTGGATATGGTCCTCACAACTGTGTCGGCATGAGATTTGCTTTGCTGGAAATTAAACTGACCCTGGTGAGATTACTGAAGAAATACAAGCTAGAGCGCACTGAGAAAACAGCGCCGGTAAGTTCGCATACACGAAAGTCTGTTTTGCTTACATTATTGTCTCGAGGGAACTCTTCCTGCAAATATGACAGGGGTGCTTGCCGGAATTATGAAAACAACCCTTAAGAGGTAAAGGCACCGCGATAACTTTAACACCGGGCGATCATTTTAGATTTTAGTGAACACCTTGAGCTGTATTAATCGGCAAATTATATCCCCAAAGGGTAACGAGGTCATCTTAAAAAGGTGGTCCCCCCGGCATCATTGTCTGTGGTTTCTAAACATGTAGACGTTGTCATCATTCGTGGGCTTTGGTGCGAAACGTAAAATATCGTACATGATTCACCTAAAAATTACGCCAAACATCGCGGCTTATTTTGCACTTCAGGGTATTTGTGCACTTAACTATACTTTTCAGATAAAACTGGAAATTTCGTGTAGACCTTTGAGGCTCGGCAATAACCATAGCCGATCTCACCATTCAGGGACATTTCTGTGTAGACATACGTTTCTGCATCTTTTGTTCCACAAAGATCGCTGAATTTACCTTTTTTCCTTGCAGCCTCCACTTGATTTTGCTGTTGGTGCTGTTCTCACCTGCCCTCCAGGGAAAATCATGCTCAAAGTTTCACCAAGGGATTAAAAGCCAGGGCTGTGCACTATCATTTTCCTCGTAGACACCTACACTACAGTTTTTCTAGAATTAACCTATATCGGACTGTTATTATAAATGTATATAAGCGATCCGTTTAAAAACGTTCTGTTGGCTTTAACAGATCCGCAGAATGGATTAAATTCAGTAAACCGGGTATAATGATTGTGTTGAGTTTAGCAGTAGTAGTCACATTGAGAAGTAACAATGCGGTACCTCAAATTTAAGTAGTCAATAGAACTTATTTTGATGCCAGTCGTAGAGGAAACTCAATGCTAACATATCCTGGTAAATTCTACGTCTTAAAAGCAGGTTCATGTCAGTAGTTTGCAGCTTGAAAGCTAGATGGCCATCTTCATGAGTATTTCTGACTTCCGTCTCTCGTTTTGTTTGGATGATCACATGCAAAGCCTCACAGGTTTAGTTTGCTGCGATGAGATGTATTCTTTTCTTGTCCAAAGTGATGGAAAGTTAAAAATAAACTGAATGCAATATTACATGTGCACATCAATAACAGACGTTTGTTAACTTTCAACCTTTTGGAATTCGGCGTAAGAGCCCGGCAGAATAAAGTTGAGGTCTAATTTACGAGACATTTTTCAGTACTGTTAACTTGGAACGTGAAATCAGATTCAATAAGGGTAAATGTATACTGTTTTTTTTTTTTTGTAATTTCAAGTGGTTGTAATAAAGTCGTTACTGGTCCTGGACTACACTTAGTTGGTTTCTTAATGAATAACTTGGACTATAGTTAGAACACAATAAGGAAAATAAAGAACATGCTATTTTCTTTCTGAATGGTATCTTTTGATGGCTTTTCAAATAAAGTACCATTAGATACTCAACAATGTCATTCCGTCAGTTACTTCTAATTTCGACCAAAGTTAATCGTTATCCAGGTTGCTAGGTTGACCAACCCTCTGGGTATCTTGCACTCGTTATCCCTCTAGTCACATTAAGTAACCCTTGTCAGTGTGTCAATGCGATCTCCGTATTGGTCACACGGCCAGATCAGACTTAACTCATCATTGAATTATAGTGTTGCCTCGTGTATGCAGCATAAATCATCTATTAAGACAATATTGTTAGTGTGGTGTCAACATATTACTTAACTTTAAATAAACAGAATTTTTTTCCTTTCGTTCGGCTCTATAAGAGGCTTTACGATTGTTCACCTCACTGTTTATCAGATAACATATTAAACAAGAGAGATCGTGCTTTACGCTCACTTTCAAACACCTAAATGAGAGTTGAAAATACGACGCGCAGCGGAGAATTTTTGAAGAACTGCGAGGTGTTCGGAAATGTGGTAAAGAACTGTCTCGAGTGCTTGATATATCTTCTCAATCGAAACTAAACTAAGACCGTAAACACGGGTGAAAAAAAATCGTAAAAACCTTTTGATACAGGTAGATAAGACCAGATTTCAAACCACTGTTACGGTTATGATTCCTTCATTGAAAGTTGATGAATTGTTTATGAATTAGAGCATTATTTCTGCTTCATAACTTAGGTTTTACTAGTGAGCATCTATCAAGGTGGTTGTTGCATTTTGCGCTGTTAAACTTTTGCGTTATAGACATTGTTATGTTTTGCCTTTTAAGACATCAGCCATGCATGAGCTATCATTTTTTTAAGGCCAAAAAAATTTATGTACTTAGTAGACCTTTGTCTGTCTGAACCTCGCTCACAATAAGAATAGGAGACTGCCATGTTTAGTTTATTTCCACTAATTGGGTCCCACCTAAAATGCTAGTCTCTGAAGGCAATTTCGTCTCTTGTTGTCTCCTTCCATCTGCTGATATTGACACAGAAAAAAGGCAGTCATAATTAATCATGTTGGCTTGTTTATTTTTCAAACGCGGGAAAAATGCTTGCAAAATTTCTTCTAGTCACGTACGTTTGTGGTTTGTCCAAACACAAGTCCAGTATATCTGAAGTGGCCATGATGAAGCTGACATAACTTGTAGGCAGCTACACACGAAAATATCGAAAATACACTGCTTTTTCACCCACTTTGTGCGAAGAAAGATACCGTATTCCTAGTTTGGTACATAATACAATCGATCATTGACTTCTTCCTCAACAACGTGTTTAATTTACTAATACTAGCGAGCAGCCGAGTAACAAGATCAAGATAACTGCAGATTACATAGCTCGGGTCGTTCAACAGGATTGAAAAAAAGCGTTCAAGGCGACCACTGTCGTAGTGAGATATCTCATAGAGTGCCAAATCAAAGGAGCTACAACGTCTAACTGGTTAAACTTAAAAGTAGATTGCATGCAAGTAAGTGTCCTTAAGCTTCATACTGCTGAATTGGTCATGCTGCGCACACAAAGCTAAAGGATAAAACTATATTAACAGTTGAGATGGTCTCCGCTATAAGCCTGCTGTTTTTGGGATGTCTTTGCCATCATTGTATATACAGGTACTTCTTTAATTTACTGTGGCTCAAATAGAAATTATGAAATGATGATGGTGAAAATTGCACATGTTACATCAACCTCCTTGAAGATCTAAGTTCATGCTTACAAGTCAGTTAAAAACATCTCTTTAAAATTTGCCCATCTATGGTAAACGCTTTGCTTTGATGTTGGCCCGTTACGCACTTCCTGTGAGTATATCAACTAATCAACTGATGCAACTCAGTGTTAG